TTTTTGTTTAATATCAAGCAACCGAAAGGAAAGGGAAAAAGACTCACGAGAACACTCGCATGTGCGTAAATCACACCGCCACCATCCGTTGAGATAGAGACATCCGCTCTGTAAGCCTCGTCGAAAAGGCGGTCCCACGAACTATTGGCGGTGTTAGAAACACATAAGCAATGGTCTTTGATTCTCGACCCGTTGATCTTGAAGCCCTTCTGATGAAACCTTGTGGTGAGATGTGAAGGCAGCGGAGGCGGATGAGGCAACGCTTTTGCCAAAGTCGAGGGGAATCCATCGTTTTTGCAATCCATTTTTTAGTTCCTCTACTTTTCTTATTTCCTCTTTTTTTACAAGACTTCTCTATATTATTCTGCAAAACAAACAGAGATTCTTTTAATTTCAGCCACATTGTTGAAGGGATTTTCGTTTTATTTCATTACCGTCTACAATTAGCTGTGAATGTCGAAAACTTTTTTTTTTATCTATAGTGCAGGATTATGAACAAGAATCTGCATCATTATCCCGAGTAATTTTTCAAATTCTGCACGGTCGATCGAGCTTTTCATGAGCTCAGTCTGTATCATCAAACCTCCTATCCTCCAACTTAGGCTTCACAATTTTTGAGAAGGAAAATTCTCAAGAAACCACAGATCAAATCCTACCCCATGAAATGTTGCTAATACATTTAAGGTTGGGGAAAAAAAAAACAAAAATATTATCATCACATCATCATCAAGATCCAACCTTTTTTTTTTTTATCTTTTCATCTCCATTAGAACAAGCAAAGAAAATCAAACAAAATAGCCACAGACAAACACACATAGTTGCACACAATAAACATAAAAACACATCTTAAAATCCACAATAATGTTCAACGACTCGTGACAGAACAAAATGTAAGAAATTTTCATTTCCTCATTAGTCATTACCTGCGTAGAATCAAATGTACACAAGATGTTTCAAATGCGAACTCCGCTTCGGTCCGAACCCCAAATCCCTAAATCCCTTTTCTGATAATTTTCCCTCGCAATATGAACATCAACAGAAGAACAAAAACGCAGCTTTTTTGTACATGAGCCAATCTCTAAAGAATCCCAAAAAAAATGTTTACAGGCTCTTAACAATGGTGGATGATCGGCCAATTTTGTGGCAACCTTTGCCTGGGAGAGAAATATGTAAAGGGATTTTAGAGAAAGTGAAACAAAAATAAATAGAAATTGTGAAATATAAAAAATGCAGTAATGGCCCCGACTCACGGTAGGCACATGTTAATATGTCCACCGTGTGACATGCAGATGTATTTTTTTAAACATATTAAACATTAGCAATGTGTGTATAAACGGTAGGCATATTAACATGTGTCTAGCATTGTGTACATAAACGGTAGACATATTAGCATGTGTCCACCGTAAGTAGGGGGAGTCAATGACAGGCTACGTGCAGCTGGCGTGAGAACAGCTCGGAAATTATGTGTAAATTCGTCAGATCCTATTGGATAATGATTATTTCCATTCGAAAAAACGTGCGGTCACCGTACGTGTTTGTACGTTTGTAGTCAATTTTTTGCAGATATTTTTTTTTTTTTGCATCCGACAGTTTAGGTAATAATATAGCTTATCGGATTAGTTTAGTGGTTTGCTTGGACAATTTCCTCGCTTGTTCCTTCCACTTATCATTAGCTCTGTTTTTGGATTATATGTTTTGTCTTTTTTTTTTTAATAGGAAAAATGAGCATCAAATAATGCATGAGTTTATATAATATATATAAATAAATAACATTAAATTATTTTCAAACTATTTTTCGGTATAATTTTTCAAAAGACAGAATATTATAATGTTGTTTTACCCTAACAAGTTTTGTTTAATGTATATTTATATGTAGTTCACTTTTTTTTTTTTTTTCACAAACGATA